CCAGCTGCTCCCCGCCCCTGGCCCTGCCACGGCACTCCGACCCCGGCCCCCAATCTACATGATGGCCCCGCGGGCCCTGAGGCGAGGCGGAGGACGCCGGTGACGACACGTCTGATGTGGACCCCCAGCACACCATCCACAACATCCCCTTCAGAACTGTATTGCCTAGTTCTGAAGATACTGGGAGTTGGTGTTGGTAGCTGGTCTGTGGTCATGGCCTTTGCATTGGCTATTCCCTCTGCCCCTAGTTATCTGCAAGTTTTTGCTTAAATGTCACCTACTCAATAAGGCTTTATCACTTCATCTGCCTTTAATACATGGCCTTATGTCATACAAGGGCAGGGATTTTGTGTGTGTGTGTGTGTGCGCCTCTACATCCTTTGTACCCAAAGCCAAGCCTGGCACACAGCGGGCTTCCCCACATTTCTTGAATGAAAGAGTTCTCACAATTCAACTACCATTCTAACCAGTTTCACACCCACCCACATAATGCTTGGCATGGAGGCAGCTTTGAAACCTGAGAACATTTATTTAATTTTGCACAAAATCTCTGAACTTGACAAAATATAACCAACAGTATGTTCCACAGTACCAAAAACCCCACCACCGAATGAAAACCTCCCCGGAAGAGGGGTCCATCTATCCTAAATACACCCGGTGTCCCACACAGCTAGTCTCGGGGTTCTCATAGCAGGGAAGCATCCACCCTGGCCTGGGGGATGGTCCATGTTTCTTGATCAAGACCTTCAGGCCACAGAGCAGCCACAGTGGCACATGGTCTTCTGATGCCGGGTCTTATTCTCAGCCTCCTTTGCCATGGCCTCCTGGACCTCCCGGACCTTCTGGATCTCGTGGATGAGCAGGGCAAAGGCCTCCTCTACACCTTGCCGCGTTTTGGCTGAGGTCTCCACGAAGGGGGCCCCCCAGCTCTTGGCTAGATCTATAGCAGCAGCATGAGCATCTCCAGCGGTGGTCACAAGGTCGCACTTGTTGCCCACAAGGACGAGGGGCCGGGTATAGTGAGGGCCCCAGGTGGCCCGCATCTGCTGCAGCTGGGTTAGAGATGACGGGTCATCGAGGGCGAAGACACCCAGCACACCATCCCCAACAGCCAAGCACTGGTCACGCAGGGCCTTGTGAGTGGGTTGCCCGGCTGTATCCAGCACATTCAGAATGTAGCCGCCGTGGTCCAGGGTCACCTCCTTCCAGTAGGAATCCTGGATCGTGGGGTCATGGTCTTCCACAAAGCACTGGTGGTTCAGCTGGATGGTCAGTGCACTCTTGCCCACCCCACTCGCGCCCACCACCACGGCCTTGTACTCCGGCAGCTGCTTGTTCTTGGAAGGTGCCGGAGTCTTGCGACTCTCCTCCTGGCTGCCAGGGCTCCAGGTGCCCAGGCCCAGATCAAGCATGTTAGGCTTTTTGGGGCGCGCCATGCTCAGGGAAGAGATGCAGACAGCAGGCCCTGCGACTGGGAAGAGAAGAAAGACAATAGGGGGGCGGGGGCCGGGCAGTAGTTTAGGTGAGGAGACCATGGGGGCAAGGGGCAGCTGGTGTCACTGAGTCAACAGTTACTGAGTGCCCAGTGTGTGCTGATCACCTTCTACTATGCTATACACATTATTTATATTGTTTATTTTCTTTTCTTTCCTTCTACTACATAAGCTCTGTGAAGGCAGGGATTTTAAAAACAGCTTTGTTGAGATACAGTTTATATACTATAAAGTTAACCTAGTTAATGTGTACAATCAATGACTCAGTATTTTCATGGAGTTGTGCAACCATCAGCAATCTCATTTTAGAAATTTTCTTCACCCCAAAAGGGCCCCCCCCACCCCCCGCCCATTAGCTGTCCTGCCGCACTCCAGAGGGATGGCAGGGATTTCATTGGCTTGGTTTTGAGTTTTTAACTGTTGAACCCCAGCCCAGCACAATGCCTGTCATACAGTAAGACCTGAGCAATATTCCTGCCCCTCCCAGGGAGTATATGTTCTAAAAGGTGGGGACAATGAACCAAATAAATAAGCAAATTATGAGGTCTGTTAGCCATTGTCTAAAATTCAGTCTTTATTACCTATTCAACATACCGCTGCCAGGAACCTACTGTGTGGCAAGGTGGGGGAAAATAAATAACAAACCTTGGCCCTCAAGAATGTGAGGATGTAGTCAGGAAGACAGAAAACATCAAAGATATCTCAGCAACAGGTGATAAGCATGCAGAGGTGCTTGGTTAATGTTAGCATTTTTGTTGTGATTCAATTTTCATTCATTACTGCGAGAAGCTCCTGGCATACCAGGTATCATGATGGACGTGGGCATGGGGGTAGTGGGAGGTGTGGGGGTGGGATGGGGCAGTGAACAAAATAAAGTTCCTGTCCTTGGGAGGATTAGACTCTAAAAGTGAGAAAGAGACAGTAAACAAGATAAGCAAGTAAATTACCAAGCAATTAGAAGAGCATGGGCACACAGCAGGCGCTCAGTGAAACGAGGGTTATCTATTAATAGCAAATCACCGTTAACTCATTCAATACACATCCTGATCTTAGTTCAGGAAATGCATTTTAATGACTGC